GCCAGTGGTCTATCCACTGAACCAAACCAGTTAGGGCAAGAACAATAGCTTTTTAAATATGCATTGCTGATGAAACTGGACATTCATAAACAAACAAACAAAAAACCTTAACCTCAATCTCGGACTTGATACAAAAACCAACTCAAAGTAGATCACGAACTTAAATGTGAAGCATAAAACTTTTAGAAGGGCTAGGCAAATATTTGACACCAAAACATTCTCTGTAAAAGAAAAAGCTGATAAAATAAACTTCATCCAAATTAAAACACATCTGCTCTGCAGTACACCCTGTTCTGAGGAAAAGAGAAGCTAGGAATTGGGTGCCAACTGGATTCCCAATTAGGGCACATGCCTGCCTTGTGGGCCCATTCCCTAGCAGGGAACATGCAGAAAACAGCTGACTGATGATTCTCTCACAGGGATGTTTCTCTCTCTCCACTCCCTCCCTCTCTCTCAAAAAAAAAAAATTAAAATAGATATCCCAAAGGTTGCATACTATAACCTGTTTATTGCTAGATGTTAAAGAACTTGCAGAAGACAGCTGATTGATGATTCTCTCACAAGGATGTTTCTCTCTCTCCACTCCCTCCCTCTCTCAAAAAAAAAAAAATTAAAATAGATATCCCAAAGGTTGCATACTATAACCTGTTTATTGCTAGATGTTAAAGTGGGGATGTGACAACATGAGGTATTCTTCTAGTGGAAGTACCCTGTAGCTTTATGTAACAATGTCAATATTTTGGTTGAAATGTTGTACTATAATTTCACAACATGTCACCACTGTGAGGGTGGGGGAAGCTAGGAAAGGAACACTCAGATCTCTCCATTATTCATTACAAATGCATATAAGGCCATCATTACCTCAAAATAAGTTTAATTTATGTTTAATGGGAATATAGACTGTTTTGCAAGACGAAAAGAGTTCTGGAGATTGGCTGCACAATAATATGCTTTATTTTTTAAAATACACATATGTTTATCGATCACAATAATATGAATGTACTTAACACTACTAAACTGTACACTTAAAATGGTAAGGTAGTAAATTCTATCCTATGTGTATTTTACTACAATGAAGTATCACTGGGAACTCAGATTTAAGCATTTTTAAGCACATCAAATGTGTTGAAATTCATTGTAGCTATTGTTCATTTTGACACTCAGATTGCCTATCTTTGGCCAGTAGAAATTATTCTTGTAGCTTCTGGTTCCTTTTGATACAATCTTCAGTCTTGGAAAGCTTCCTTGCTTATCTTGGACAATTTCTCCTCTCCCCACCCCCCACCTGAAACTGGTTACTTCTCCAAGGACTTCCTTCAGTGGGAAATGGCATTGGATAGCTCAGTGAGAACAATAGCATGATCATTGCTAACGGGTTGTTGTTTCCAGGCCTTTTAAAGATAAAGTTAGGAAATGGGATAAAAACACCATGAGCTCCGCATTAAATTTCCAATTGAAATTCAGAATTATAAAGTTTTTACTTTATCTGTATCAACTATAAATCTGTACCTCTTTGTTCTACACCAAAAATCCTGTTTTATAAATACACTATTTTTATTATTTTTTATTGTTTAAAGTATTCCATATAGTAGTACATATATCTTTTTCCCCTCCTCTCCTACCCAGGCTGAGCTTCCCAGCCTCCCCTACCCTCTGTCACATGCCCTCACCCCACCCCCGCTCCCCAGTGTCTTGTGTCCATTGAATACACTGATATTTAACACTCATTTGTTTTACCTCACAGTACACAACAGTTTCAGAACAACAATACGAACACTCCCACCACCAATGGGCTGGCTTTAAAAAATGTTTGCACTTCTTTTTGTCCTTAGAGTATGTTCCCTTGGGACGCCATGGTCAAATTATTGTTTTACAGTCACTTGGATAGTTTGTTTGAGGGCCTTTTACATTTTGGCAATAAAAGCCTTTACGATGTGGCCTTGTGTGGTCACGGGGAAAAGTGCATTCTTCAGAAATATCTGTATAATGAAGAGAAGGGTCCTTGTGGGCCTCCAGATTCTGAATTAAACGTAGAGCCAATCAATGCAGAGGCCTTAGTGACCCAATGTGGAATCAGCCGTGTTAATTTCACTTGGCAAGTCCTAAGGGGTGAATGGTCCCAGCAACCTAAAGCTGCAGAAATATGGCTAAAGTCCTGCAATATTTTATAAGGTCGCGGGATTATGTTACTCCACAAAAGTAGCTTCCTGAGTCTCTTTTTCTCTGTTTGTCTCTCCAAGGGCTCCAACCTTGGGGGTTAGTAATTGTCAAAAACTTCTATCTCCCCACACACACTTTGCCTTGGTTAGCCTCCCCACTCTCTCCCCCACCCACCCCCAGCAACTCAGGAGTGTGTGTGTGTGTGTGTGTGTGTGTGTGTGTGTGTGTGTGTGTTGGTGAGAAGGAGGGAAGAGACGCTGCTGTATGAAAATGGCGGTGGTAGGGGGATAGACAGCTGCAAGGATCTGAGCTGGTGGACTGAAACCTTCATCCTAAACAACTTCGAGCTCAGGTTTCTCCTCCGGACAGCTGGCTTTTCGGTCCTTCTGAAATAGTCCGCAAAGATGGGGGGGGGGGCTGTCAACTGCTTCCGCTCTGGACCTCGGTTAAAGTCAGCTCCCCCCAGCTCTGCTCTGTAGGAACAAAATGCAACATTCAACACAGCAGAGGTGAGGGTGGTGATGGGCGTGGTGAACCAGAGGCACACAACCGCCCACCCTAACTTGACTTATTTTTTACAAGTCTTTTCTTTTTTTAAATATATATTTTTAATTTTAAATATATATTTTATGATTTTCCACAGAGAGGAAGAGAGAGGGATAGAGAGTTAGAAACATCGATGAGAGAGAAACATCCATCAGCTGCCTCCTGCATACCCCTACTGGGGATGTGCCTGCAACCCAGGTACATGCCCTTGACTGGAATGGAACCCGGGACATTCCAGTCCGCAGGCCAACACTCTATCCACTGAGCCAAACTGGTTTCGGCGATATATTTTTTTATTGATTTCAGAGAGGAAGGGAGAGAGCTAGAGAGACAGAAACATCAATGATGAGAGAGAATCATTGATTGGCTGCCTCCTGCAGGTCCCCTACTGCTGGGGGGGGGGGGGGGGGGATTAAGCCTGCAACCTGGGCAGGTGCTCTTGGCCAGAACTGAAGGCAGGAGAGACAATAAAACCAACAGGCTGACGCTCTATGCACTGAGCCTATCTGGCTAGAGCACCCACTCTAATGATAAAGGCTGGGGGCTCCTTTGTGACCTGCTGGAGGGCTGCCTGGCGTAGGCAGTGACTAGAGTCCCAGAAGCTGGAACTGGATATTCCGACTTGCCTGTCATAGTTCTGTCCACCCTCCCCTACTTGGCACCCTACACCCCACATTCTTCCTAATCCTCCTACCCCTCCCAACTCCCACACCCTACCCCCATCAAAGCTCCTGGAATTTTGGACTTAGCTATTTTTAAAACAGTCAACTCAGTAGCCACCTCCCTCCCCCCGCTCAGCTGTCCAGTGCTCCCGCCAGCCATATACTCCCCCTTCCCCCCACACCGGGCCTTCTCCGGCTCCCTGTCCTCACTGCGGTTGCAGCAGGCCCGGGGGCCTGGGGGAGACATGGAGGAAGAGATGGGGGATCCCCTGGCCAGAGCTGACCGACAGAGTAGGCAGTCATGGCTGGAGACCGGGATAGCAGAGTAATGTTTGATCTCTGGACACAGTAAGTCAAACGAAATTGCAATGCCTTGCATGCACTTCTGGATTGAAGTTAGACTTCCACAAAATGACCACAGAAACCCCCGCTCCAAAAGCTAAGACCTCTCCCCTCTCGGGGGCTCAGGTGCCCCACCTGCATTTCTCCTTCAGTCTGATTGCTTTCTGGCCTGGAGCCATTGGGGGTCTCCCGCCTCGGGCTCCCCTCGGGCAGTGTAAGCTCTTTCTCACCCTCCGCGGTACCCCCAGGCTTCCTTCTTTAGCAGGAGTTCCCCGGATCCCTGAGTCTGTGGTTTTCTCATCAAGGCCAAATTTAGCCTCACATGATTAGTCATGACACCCGTCCACCCTGTCCCTGCTTGGCGTGCCCTTTGCTTGGGCTTCCACGGAGGCTGGCCTGGTCATAAGTGGTTTCTCCCCACGACTCTAGACCTGCCATCCCACTCTCCCTCCTGTGATTGTGCCTCAGGAGAGGCAAGCCCCTCCCCAAGACTGAGAACTCCTAAATCTGCAGAGGGAAGGTTAACGGGAAAGGGACTCCTCGGTTGGGTTTGGAAATGCTCAGCGGTGGGCTCCTAACAGGTGGATGTCGCTGTGCATGCTCGGGGTGCACTCCAGGATCCGAGGAGAGAGGGGTTACCAGGGCCACTCTCTAGAACAGACGGAAAGAAGTCAGTTCCCTTCTCATTTGAATATTGAGGGACGGGTGTTCTCCCATTCCTCCTTCTTGCTGAAAATTCTGACACAAAGCGGGTAAAAAGGGAAGAATGGCCTCTGGGGGTCCCTCCTGATAGGGAGAGGCAAATCGGAGGTGTGTTTCCGAAGCACTTCCCAGCCCCTAATTCTGTCGGGGAACCTGTCATTCTGTCGGGGAACCTACTGGGATGGTTGGGTCTGCTCTGCCCCCACGATTCCTCCTCTTTGGACGCTGCTGCTGTTTCGGTCGCTCAGAATGGGGCAACACCGTGGACTCTGCCCCCCACCCCGGGCCACTCACTGTTCCCGCTACACCCCCCCCCCCCGGAGTGTTGCACAAGGGGCCTGAGTGTGGCTGCGAGACAGGGCACAGGGGTCACAGCCACACTTACAGTGACAGTGCCGGGAGCCCCGTTCCCCCCAAACTCCAGCCTCTTATCCTGCTCTTGACCTTCCCACACGCCCCTCACATCCTCCCACTTTCCTCTCTCCCCGCGCCCGTCTCTTGCAGGACGGCCAGCCAGTCATCGTCCACTAGGTAGGACAGCCGTGGGCTGCAGAGAGCCGGAGCCTGCGGGGACCTGGCTGGATAGGTATGGGGGATCCAGGCCAGTGCCCCGGTCCCCGGTCCCCCCATGGCAGCCCCCCAACTCTAAGCACTCTCACTCTCCTGCTGCTCCTCTGTGGATATGGTAAGGAGGGGCCAGGGGAGGGTTTGGGGGGGACCTAGAAGGCAGGCTGCTCTGGGGGTGGGCATGTGAGCATGAGGGAGTGAAGAAGGGGTGCCGAGGTTCCCCCCACCCTCTAGGGCAGGTACATACTGTCTCCCATCAGCTTGGGAGGAGCCTGGGAGGGACCTGGAGGGACAAGGAAGCTGCAGCGGGCTTATCCATTCTAGCAAAGCCGAGTGAGAACAGGATTAGGGGGCTGGGGCCGGGCCTTGGGAGCCTTCCGTGGCTTCAGGGAGGGCTGGCAGCCCCTGGGGAGATGTGGGGGGGAGGGGGCGCTGGAGGGGCATCTGGAGACCATCTCACTCCCCCCCCTGCCCCCAGCTCACTCCCAGTGCAAGATCCTCCGCTGCAACGCCGAGTACGTGTCGTCCACCCTGAGCCTCCGCGGCGGGGGCTCCCCGGGGGCGCTCCGGGGCGCGGGCGGCGGCCGGGGCGGCGGGGGCGCGGGCGGCCTGTGCCGGGCGCTGCGCTCCTACGCGCTCTGCACGCGGCGCACGGCGCGCACCTGCCGCGGGGACCTGGCCTTCCACTCGGCCGTGCACGGCATCGAGGACCTGATGATCCAGCACAACTGCTCCCGCCAGGGCCCCACGGCGCCGCCGCCCGCGCGCGGCCCGGCCCTGCCCGCCGCCGGCCCCGCCGCCCCGGACCCCTGCGACCACGCGGCGCGGTTCGCGCGGCTGCACGGCCGGCCGCCCGGCTTCCTGCACTGCGCCGCCTTCGGGGACCCGCACGTGCGCAGCTTCCAGCACCTCTTCCACACGTGCCGCGTGCGCGGCGCCTGGCCGCTGCTGGACAACGACTTCCTCTTCGTGCAGGCCACCAGCGCGCCCGTGGCGCCCGGCGCCAACGCCACGGCCACCCGCAAGGTCAGGACCGGCGCTCCTCCGCAGCCTCTGGGGTCCCCCCAACCCGCCCGGCGCGCTGCCAGCCCAGCCCGTTGCCCCCTGGCGGCACTCCTGTGCCATCTCCCCAACCGCCCTCTGCCATCCCTGGTCTTCCCCCCTCTGCCAACACCCCCTCTGCTAACCGCCCCCTCTGCCAGCACCCGCTCCGGAACCGCCGTCCCTCGTGGGGTTCCACTCGAGCTCAGAAGCCACTGAGAACGTTGGGGAGAGGGAGCGGAGCGCCATGGGGTGCGGGGACTCTTCCTTCTCCATGGGAGCTGCTGAGACGGAGGCCAAAAGGAGAGCGGGGACCTGAGGGAGGCCCCCCAGGCTTTTCATCAGAGCCTTGTCCCAGGCCTGGCTGGGGGAGGGGAAGGGGAAGGAGAGGGGAAGAAGGGGAAAGGGAAGAAGGGGAAGGAGGGGAGGAAGGGGAAGAAGGGGAAAGGGAAGAAGAAGGGGAAGGAGGGAAAGAAGGGGAAAGGAAAGAAGGGGAAAGGGAAGAAGAAGGGGAAGAAGGGGAAAGGGAAGAAGAAGGGGAAGAAGGGGAAAGGGAAGAAGAAGGGGAAGGAGGGAAAGAAGGGGAAAGGGAAGAAGGGGAAAGGGAAGAAGGGGAAAGGGAAGAAGAAGGGAAAGAAGGGGAAGAAAGGGAAAGGGAAGAAGAAGGGGAAGAAGGGGAAAGGGAAGAAGAAGGGGAAGAAGGGGAAGAAGGGGGAAGGGAAGAAGAAGGGGAAGAAGGGGAAAGGGAAGAAGAAGGGGAAGAAGGGGAAGAAGGGGAAAGGGAAGAAGAAGGGAAAGAAGGGGAAGAAAGGGAAAGGGAAGAAGAAGGGGAAGAAGGGGAAAGGGAAGAAGAAGGGGAAGAAGGGGAAGAAGGGGGAAGGGAAGAAGAAGGGGAAGGGGAAGAAGGAGAAGAAGGGGAAAGGGAAGAAGAAGGGGAAGAAGGGGAAGAAGGGGAAAGGGAAGAAGAAGGGAAAGAAGGGGAAGAAAGGGAAAGGGAAGAAGAAGGGGAAGAAGGGGAAAGGGAAGAAGAAGGGGAAGAAGGGGAAAGGGAAGAAGGGGAAGAAGGGGAAAGGGAAGAAGGGGAAGAAGGGGAAGAAGGGGGAAGGGAAGAAGAAGGGGAAGAAGGGGAAGGGGAAGAAGGGGAAGAAGGGGAAGAAGGGGAAAGGGAAGAAGAAGGGGAAGAAGGGGAAGAAGGGGAAAGGGAAGAAGGGGAAAGGGAAGAAGGGGAAAGGGAAGAAGAAGGGAAAGAAGGGGAAGAAAGGGAAAGGGAAGAAGAAGGGGAAGAAGGGGAAAGGGAAGAAGAAGGGGAAGAAGGGGAAAGGGAAGAAGAAGGGGAAGAAGGGGAAGAAGGGGAAAGGGAAGAAGAAGGGAAAGAAGGGGAAGAAAGGGAAAGGGAAGAAGAAGGGGAAGAAGGGGAAAGGGAAGAAGAAGGGGAAGAAGGGGAAGAAGGGGGAAGGGAAGAAGAAGGGGAAGAAGGGGAAGGGGAAGAAGGAGAAGAAGGGGAAAGGGAAGAAGAAGGGGAAGAAGGGGAAGAAGGGGAAAGGGAAGAAGAAGGGAAAGAAGGGGAAGAAAGGGAAAGGGAAGAAGAAGGGGAAGAAGGGGAAAGGGAAGAAGAAGGGGAAGAAGGGGAAGAAGGGGGAAGGGAAGAAGAAGGGGAAGAAGGGGAAGGGGAAGAAGGAGAAGAAGGGGAAAGGGAAGAAGAAGGGGAAGAAGGGGAAGAAGGGGAAAGGGAAGAAGAAGGGAAAGAAGGGGAAGAAGGGGAAAGGGAAGAAGGGGAAGAAGGGGAAAGGGAAGAAGAGGGGGAAGAAGGGGAAGAAGGGAAGGGAAGAAGAAGGGGAAGAAGGGGAAGGGGAAGAAGGGGAAGAAGGGGAAGAAGGGGAAAGGGAAGAAGAAGGGGAAGAAGGGGAAGAAGGGGAAGAAGGGGAAGAAGGGGAAGAAGGGGAAAGGGAAGAAGAAGGGGAAGAAGGGGAAGAAGGGGAAGAAGGGGAAAGGGAAGAAGAAGGGGAATGAGGGGAAGGAGGGGAAATGGAAAAAGAAGGGGAAGAAGGGGAAATGGAAGAAGAAGGGGAAAATGGGAAATGGAAGAAGAAGAAGGGGAAGAAGGGGAAGGAGGGGAAGAAGGGGAAGAAGGGGAAAGGGTAGAAGAAGGGGAAGAAGGGGAAGAAGGGGAAGAAAGGGGCAGAAGAGGAAAAAGGGGAAAGGGAAGAAGAAGGGGAAGAAGGGGAAGAAGAAGAAGGGGAAGAAGGGGAAAAAGGGAAGAAGGGAAAGAAGGGGAAAGGGGTGAAGGGGAAGAAGGAAAAGAAGGGGAAAGGGAAGAAGGGGCAGAAGAGGAAAAAGGGGAAAGAGGAAGAAGGGGAAGAAGGGAAGAAGGGGAAGAAGGGGAAAGGGGAGAAGAGGGGAAGAAGGGGAAAGGGAAGAAGAAGGGGAAGAAGGGGAAGAAGGGAAGAAGGGGAAAGGGAAGAAGGGGAAGAAGAGGAAGTAGGGAAAGAAGGGGAAGAAGGGGAAGAAGAGGAAAGGGTAGAAGAAGGGGAAGAAGGAGAAGAAGGGGTAGAAGGGGAAGAAGGGGAAAAAGGGGAAGAAGGGTAAGAAGGGGGAAAAGGGGAAGAAGGGGAAGAAGGGGAAGAAAGGGGCAGAAGAGGAAAAAGGGGAAAGGGAAGAAGAAGGGGAAGGAGGGGAAGAAGGGGAAGAAAGAGGCAGAAGAGGAAAAAGGGGAAAGGGAAGAAGAAGGGGAAGAAGAAGAAGAGGAAGAAGGGGAAAGGGTAGAAGAAGAAGGGGAAGAAGGGGAAGATGGGGAAGAAGAAGAAGAAGAAGGGGAAGGGGAAAAGGGGGAAGAAGAAGAAGGGGAAGAAGGGGAAAGGGTAGAAGAAGAAGGGGAAGAAGGGGAAGAAGAGGAAGAAGGGGAAGAAGGGGAAAGGGAAGAAGAGGAAGAAGGGGAAGAAGGGGAAAGGGAAGAAGAAGGGGAAGAAGGGGAAGGGGAAGAAGGGGAAAGGGAAGAAGAAGGGGAAGAAGGGGAAGAAGGGGAAAGGGAAGAAGGGGAAGAAGGGGAAGAAGGGGAAGAATGGGAAGTAGGGGAAGAATGGGAAGAAGGGGAAAGGGTAGAAGAAGAAAGGGAAGAAGGGGAAGAAGGAAGGGAAAGGGGAAGAAGGGGAAGAATGGGAAGAAGGGGAAAGGGTAGAAGAAAAAGGGGAAGAAATGGAAGAAGGGGAAGAAGGGTGTGGAATCCTTCTTGTTTCAGGGCCCACTCAGGGTCCAGTTTCTGGAGAAGGCCGCACACTAAAATGAAAAGACTGGAAAAGAGTTAATTTGGGGAAATGGGGGCCAGGTGGGAGTCCACCTCTAGAGAGGACTACTCCATGCTCTGGCCTTTTACCATTCCTTTTATTGAGATTCTGAAACAAAGACATCTCTTAGGCGGGAAGTTCCAACAACAGAAAATCAACAAGAATTTACATTTACATATGATTAACAAATTAAAGTTGCCTCAACCACCACTATCTCAACCAGATGATGAGTTAATAGCTCGGACCATTTAGAGCCATCAAGGTTGCCTAACTCTTTCTACATTTTACTACCAGGGAACAAATGTTTGGTTTCGGTTAGCCAGCTCTTTTTACATCTTACCACCAGTGACTTAACTTAGAGTCAATGAGTTAATAGCTCTGACCATTCAGAGCCATCAAGCCTGGCTAGCTCTTTTTACATTTTATTACCAGTGGCAATGTTAGGTTTCGGTTCTGGCAGAAGGGGAAGAAGAAGAAGGGGAAGAAGAGGAAGAAGGGGGGAAGGGGGAAGGGGAATGGGAAGAAGGGGAAGAAGAAGTGGGGAAGGGGAAGAGTGGGAAAAAGGGGAAGGGGAAGAAGGGGAAAGGGAAGACAAGGAAGAAAAGGGGAAGAGGAAAGGGAAAGGGAAGAAGAGGAAGGGAAAGAAGAGGAAAAGGAAGGAGGGGAAGAAGGTGAAGAAGGGGAAGGAGGGGAAGGGGAAGAAGAAGAGGGGAAGAAGGGAAAGAAGAGGAAGGAAGGGAAGGGGAAGAAGAAGAGGAAAGGGAAGAAGAGGAAGGGGAAGAATGGGAAGGAGGAGAAGGGAAAGAGGAAAGGGAAAGGGAAGAAGAGGAAGGGGAAGAATGGGAAGGAGGAGAAGGGAAAGAGGAAAGGGAAAGGGAAGAAGAGGAAGGGGAAGAATGGGAAGGAGGGGAAGGGAATAAGGGGAAGAGGAAGGGAAGAAGAGGAAAGGGAAGAAGAGAACGGGAAGAAGGGGAAGAAGGGGAAGAAGGGGAAGGGGAAGAGGAAAGGGAAAAGGAAGAAGAGGAAGGGGAAGAATGGGAAGGAGGGGAAGGGGAAGAGGAAAGGGAAAGGGAAAAGGAAGAAGAGGAAGGGGAAGAAAGGGAAGAGGAAGAAGGGGAAGGGTGCCCCGCACCGGAACAAACCGCCTTCCCTCTCGCCCTGCCAGCTCACCATCATCTTTAAGAACATGCAGGAGTGCATCGACCAGAAGGTGTACCAGGCGGAGGTGGACAACCTTCCGGCCGCCTTCGAGGACGGCTCCGTCAACGGCGGGGACCGGCCGGGGGGCTCCAGCCTGTCCATCCGCTCGGCGAGCCCGGGCCGCCACGTGGAGATCCGCGCCGCCTACATCGGCACCACCGTGGTGGTGCGCCAGGCGGCCGGGCAGCTGTCCTTCGCCATCCGCGTGGCGGAGGACGTGGCGCGCGCCTTCTCGGCGGAGCAGGACCTGCAGCTGTGCGTGGGCGGCTGCCCGCCGGGCCAGCGGCTCTCCCGCAGCCCCCCGGGCCCGCTGGGCGCGGCGGCGGCGCGGCGGCTGTGCAAGGAGCGGCTGCCGGTGGAGGACGCCTACTTCCACTCGTGCGTCTTCGACGTGTCCGTGTCCGGGGACCCCCGCTGGGCGGCGGCCGCGCGGGCCGCGCTGGAGGACGCGCGCGCCTTCCTGCCGGACCCGGGGCAGCTGCACCTGTTCCCCTCGGACGCCGCCGGGGCGCCCCTGTCCGCGGCCGCCCTCCCCGCCCGGCTGCTGCCCGGCCTCTGCGCCCTGTGGCTCTGCCTCCAGTAGCCAGGCCCCAGCCCTGGGCGGGGCTGGAGACGGTTTGGGGGTGGAGAGGGGCAGGGGCGGCATCAAGACTCGCTGAAGGGCCCCAGCCGGCACTGGCCTGCGGACTGGAGGGTCCCGGGTTCGAGTCCGACCAAGGGCACCTGTCCGGGTTGCAGGCTCGGTCCCCAGGAGGGGGCGTGCAGGAGGCAGCCCATGGAAGTTTCTCTCGCATCACGGACGGTTCTATCTCTCCCTCCCTCTCTGAAAGAGAATCACGGCAGGAAGCAGTGGGGGCTGGGAGACACGTGAGACAATGACATTGGTCCAGAGTGAGAACAGGCTGCAGCCCAGCGGTGGAAAGGATCATAGGATAGGGTTCTGGACCAGGTGTCTGCACTCCGGCCCCACCAGGGACTCCCCCAGCTTCCCTGGTCCCCTTTCCAGGAAGTGAACTGCCCCAGTCCACCCGATCCTACCAGTTTAGAGGGTGGAGTGGCCCTGAGGACCGTAGAAAAATGAGACTTTTAACGGGAAAGAACTGACAGGTCATTGCCCCTGAGAACACACCGGCTTCCTCTGAGGAGAGGATGGTGAGGGAAGGGGTTCATCTGGTGAAGCTAGGAGGGCGACGTGCTTTGCTTTCTGGGTTCAGAAGTGAAGGCGGGGATGGGGGAGTCTGGATCTTCGTTGAAAGGAACCTCTGCCCTTGGAGAATGGCACGGGCAGGAGAGCACCCATCACCTACCCCTGGCTGACCCGCCGTTAAAGCTGCGGGTGGCCATGGCTTCGGGGCCTGTGCGGAATGGCCTCAGGGATGCTCAGTGAGTGAGGGAAGGCGAGGTGCTCACTGCACAGAGGGCACAGGAGCCTCAGACCCTGCTTCTGCCCTCCAGTTCTCCGGCTGCGAGGGGACAACACTGATGGGCAGGAGGGGGGACTGAGGAGGGTGATGTGCACTCCATGCCGCCGTGCTGAGAATGCTGGTGGGAATGGGGCTGGAGAGACCCCACAAACAATAATGATAAGAGGGGGCAGAGGAGAGGGGATGGGAAGGGACCTTTGAAGATCAGGTGAATTGGGGAGGGCCTTCCAGGCAGTGGCAACCTGAGTTAAGCAGAGATTCAAGATTCCATGAAGCCATCAGCAAAAGGCCAGTGAACTGTGCAAGACGTGAAGGCAACCAGGGCACGGAGGGTGGAGGACAGAGTGGGAAGCACCTTGAAAGTGGAGCCAAGGAGTTACGTTTCAATAAACTCATTATGGAGAGCTTACAGCCTGCCAGGCACTGTTCTGAATGGATGTTGCTTTGTGAATCCTCACCTGCGGAAATTTTCCCACTGCTTTTCAGAGGGTGAAAGGGAGAGAGAGAGAGAGAGAGAGAGAGAGAGAGGAGAGAGAGAGAGAGAGAGAGAGAGAGAGAGAGAGAGAGAGAGAGAGAAGACACATCAATTGTTCTCCTCCTGTACATCCGGGAATCGAACCCACCACCCTTCAGTGCCTGTGCTGATATGTAGCACCCACCAGGGCTGTTCTATACACTTGTATTAGTTCATTTAATCCTCACAACTCCCTGAGGGAGGTAATATTTTCATCTCTCTTTTTACAAAAGCACCCGAGTACAGGGAGATCACAGCTCGCCCACAGTCATGCGGCCAGTGCATGGCAGAGCCAGACGCCGAAGCCAGAAGCCAGGCCGTTCAGCTCTCCAGCCCTGATAGTTAGCAACCACTACACTGTACCGAAGGGGAACCGGAGAGCCGTTCACCTGTGGTCGGGGAGCCGGGCAGGAAAGGGGAGCTGTGGCGGGGCTGCCACCACAAAAGCACGGAACCCCAAAGAAGAGCGGGGTCGGGGAGCCCGAAGCGGAAGGAATCTGGCTTGTAGGAGACTGGAGAATAAAAGCTATTCCAGCTCAGTTCTCACGCTGCTCCGGACAAACCACTCAGGAGGTGGCTTTTCTTTTAGGAGGTGACCTTCATATTCAGTACGTCCCCCCTCTTCTCCTGGGCCTGTCCCTGACCTAATCAGGTGCTGACACTTATGTCGCCCCCTCTTCTCTCAGCCTCGCCCGCCTGCCTACTCTTCCCCCAGAGCGCACACACACACTGGCCGGTGCCTGCCAGGCAGGGCCTATCAGTCTGCCACCCACATTTCTTGCGCAATTCTCCATCCGCTATCTCCTCCTCTCCGCCTGCTCCAGGGACCCCAGCCACTCGGCCAACCCATCGAAGCACCGTCTCTCTCGTTTCTGAAGTGACCGTCAGCTAATCTGAAAGCAATCTGTTCTGATGGAAGGAAATGGGAAGAAAAATATGTAGGGCTCTCCCTTCACATTCAGGCAACAGGCACTTCACTCACAACATCTTTTTAAGAAACTGCTCCTTATAGTGGTTCTCTTAACTCACCAGGGTAATTTTATCCCTCAGATTTGGGAATTGCTAGTAAATTAAGAATTTTATAGCCCACTGGTGAAAGCTGGCGTTTAATGATACCTGTCAAGGAACACTGCTTCCTCTGCCCAAATTTAGGATTATCCCTATTACCAATGCAGGACGTGAAAAGGGGTAGGTCGGCCTGCGGACTGAGAGTCCCGGGTTGGATTGTGGTCAAGAGCAGGTACCTGGGTTTAAACGCAATGTCCGGCCTGGCTGGTCAGTGCAGTGCAGGAGATGATCTATTGAGGTGACTCCTGCACATGGAATTTTCTGTCTCTTCCCCTCCTTTCTACTCTCTCTAAAAATCAATTGGAAAAGATCCTTGGCTGCAGAAACCGGTTTGGCTCAGTGGATAGAGCCTCAGTCTGAGGACTGAAAGGTCCCAGGTTCGATTCTGGTCTAGGGCATGTACATTGGTTGCGGGCACATCCCAGGTAGGGGTGTGCAGGAGGCAGCTGGTCGATGTTTTTCTCTCATCGATGTTTCTAGCTCTCTATCCTCCTTTCTTCCTCTCTGTAAAAAAACAAAATATATTAAAGAAAAAAGAAAAAGATCCATGACTGGGGATTAACAACAAAAAGAGGGTGGGGAAAGAGAATCCTTCAAAATAAGCACTTGAAAAGATGCTCCACATCTTTGTCACTAGGAAATGCGAATCAAAATAAAACCACAAAGAAAAACTACTACACCCAGTTCGAAGGATTAAAATGTGAAAGACTGACTGGAGCAACTGTTGGCAAGGTGAGCGCTCCCTGACTCTGTCGGGGATGCAAATAGTGTCACCATTTGGCAGTTTTGTTAAAAGCTAAGTGTACACCTACCATACCACTAAAACATTCCACTCCTGAATATCGGCCCAAGAGAAACAATGACGTGCTTCTATGCAGAGCCTTGCATGGCGATGTCCACTGTGGTCTTGTTTAAATAACCAAGAGCGGGAAACAAGCCACATGTCCCTCCGTGAGTCCATGGGGACACCGATCGTGGTAAATCCACACAGCAGAATGCCACTGAGCAATGATATGGAATAAACTACAGATCCATGCAGCATGGCGAATTTCAAAATAATAATGCAAGCAAAAATAGCCAACAAAAAGGAGTCCTTACATTATGCTTCCATTGACTAAAATTATAGAAAGTACAAACTAATATATAACAACAGAACAGAGATCAATGCCTGGTGGAGGAAGGGAAGGAGGAATGGCTGGTGGCTCTGTGGATGAACCAGGAGGTCAGGGTTCAATTCCCGGTCAGGGCACAGGCCCAAGTTGCAGGCTTGATCCCCAGGTCGGGTGTGCAACAGGCAGCCAATCAATGATTCTCCCTCATCATTGATGTTTTCCTCTCTCTCTCCCTCTTCCTTTCTCTCTGAAATCATTAAAAGTATTTTTTTAATGGGGTGGAAGGAGAGGATGGGAGCGGGCTGGAAGAGGTTAATGCAGGGGCAAGGAGAACCTATGTAATACTTTCAATAATAAAGTCTTGTTTAAAAATCAGGGTGGGGGGTGGAGGTGCCAACAATGAAGACACTTTACCAAAGAAAACAAAACGAGGGCAGGGGCATGAGGAAACATTTGGGAGTAGCATGTTTATTATCTTGAGCGTAGCAACAATTTCATATAAAAAACATGAAATTATACACTTTTCACTAGGTGTAGTTTATCATCCACCAATTACACACAATAAAGCTGTAAGTTTTTGTTTGCAAGTGGGCAGCCCAGCTCTCCCTCTTCCTCTGGGGCAGTGTTCTCAAACTTTTGACATATGTGTATTCCTTCTATAATTTTCGTAATGCTGAGTACCCCTCGTACTCATGAGAACGTAGAATTAGGCGCAGCTAAGCACGGTGCAGGGCATATCCCCACCAAACTCCGGTGCAACGCGTACCCCCACCAAACTCTTCCCGTATCCCTGGGGGTACATGTACCACCCTTTGGGAAACACTGCCCTGGGGAATCAGACTGAAGCTTAGGATGACCGTAGCATGGGAAGAAAGAAAGATAGACTAGGCTTCCCTCCTCCTGGGAAAACACAGAAAAGAAAAAGGTGATGGGGCCAGGGAAGAGAATAGCTAATGATTTTATATTCTCTCTTCTAACTCTTGTCGCAAGGACCACATTCCTTCCTCCAGATGGTCACTCTCAAGGTCAGAGACCAGAGAAAGGACATCTATCCTGCGCCTCATAATTCTGCCTTTCCTATCCACCTATAGACAGCAGGTGGCGCTGGTGACTAAAAAGAAGTGTTCGGGACCAGGAAGCTCTCCAGGAAAAAGAAAATGAAGTTATCTGACACGTTGCCCATTTGAGAGAAAATATTAATAATCATTTGGCAGAATTGTCATTTGAGAAATAAATTTAAGATAGGTGCATAGTACACTCGATAAATTATTATAACTTCACAACAAACAGAATTGTTCAAGACACAAGACAATCAAAATACACTACTTGGCTCCACATTATTGACACAGTGATAAAACAGCCCTAGCCAGTTTTGCTCAGTGGATAGAGAGTTGGCCTGTGGACTGAAGGGTCCTGGGTTCAATTCTGGTCAGGGGCACATTCCTGGAATTATAGGCTCTATCCC